ACATGAGATTTTTTGAACATCTGCTCAGAACACTGACAAAGACTGCTGGGTTTTTTTGATAAGCCAGAAAAGTTTCTTGGTTCTTTGTCCCTGTCTCCTCTTCTATGCACTAGAACTTGATGAAGCACCTTTTCCAGGTCAGCTTCAACAGGTTAGATGAATTTCTGACATTTATCTTGATGCCCAATGCCAGAAGAAGAAGAAAGATCAGCATTTAATAATTTCTTCTTAGTACGGCGCTCTTGTGTCCCTGCTCAGAATATTCAAGGTCACCAACTGCTGTTCAAAGACACGGGAACAGTGAAAGCTATGCGCTGAATGCTGTCATGTACCGTGTGTCGTCAAGCTCACAGCTTCCTTTCAAGGACTCCTCATGACAACAAATAACAGTAGTCTTAATCTGAGGTACTCAAATGGCTTCCGTGTTAGCAGAGCAAATACAAGAGACAGCTCTTTTAATGCAGTCGCAGGCGTGCCTGTTTCCTTTTGATAATGATGCACCCATTAGCCTGTTAATAGTAGAACCAATGTTTAATAAACCAACTTTCTTACGCTCTCCATGCACCGGTTGAGCTCTGAGCTCAGTCATGGTGGCTTTCTCTCATTTGTCCGTTGCCATAGGTGTCTTTCTTATTGTTCTTGTAGGTATGGGTGGTCTGCTGATGTTTGTATTTTGGGAGCAGCTAAGGAGATAAACATGTAAGACACAATCCCTAGCCTGCGGAGTTTAAAATTTAGCTCAGAGGTCAAAACCGTTAGAAGGGCATGAGTGACACAGCTTCCAAATTTAAGGAAGCTGACGTACTTAGGAGTCCAAGTTTTAAGGTTAACTAATGGAACTTAGATTCTCAGATTTTTTTTGAGGAGGCAGTATCCAAATATAGATGTTTCTCCCATAGCCTAATCACGGGACAATGTAGGCAAGCTTAGACTTGTCTTCCACAAGGCACAAAGCCCTTTTCAGCAGTGGTTTCATTTCATAGTATATGCTAGATGTTCAGCTGTTTTCTTCTAACTTTCCCTTTTTAAAATGTGGTGGTATGTGTCCTTTATGGTTCTGCATGTTTGTTCAATCTAGGGGCTGAACTGTTATGGGAGAAACCCCCTAGCAGTCTCTGTCACTGTTCCTTGGATAGCTGCCTTAATATTTATGTTACCCACTGCATACACGGTCATGCTTTAACTCCTGTTTTGATTAGCTCTCCCACTTTTTATTTTCTAGACTGTGATGCAAATTTCAGGACTATTTGCTGTTTGTATCTATATTGGCCCTAATTTTGACTTAATTTTGCATCGCTTTTTAGCTGGCTTTTCCAGATAATCTGCTAGCAAGCTTGTACCTGATAATGAGCAAATAAAACCTACTCATTCTACTGAATAACCATACACCTGTATGTATGGTTTAATGTGTGGAGAACTGTGTCTGCCCATCGCTGAAACTGGTGGCTCTCAGCTTTTTCCATATTGAAACTGCAAGCAACAATTGAAAAAGCTTTGTGACCATCCTTCTGCCTAAATATATATAGCAACTGAGTCTTTCTCAGCCCCTTCTGAGATCTTGCAACTTAAGCTATATGGTAAGATACATCTACTGAGGATTTATGAAGCTTGGAAATGGTAATTTTTTGACTTCGGTGTTCTTGTTCATTTACAAAGAGAGTCCACTGAAGGAGAGCCATTTATACTTTATTACTTTTCCTTGAACAGTGACATTTTTATTTCTGAAGAATTGTTCTTTTTGCTTTTAATTTAAAGAGAAAACACAATTTCCCTAAATTTGACAAATAACTGAAGATTTGCCTGAGATGCTTTGAATTCCTGCTTAATAATTACAAAATTCACTGTCCAATCTCACTTTCTAATTATTGTAGGATTAAAAAATGAAAAATGAAATGCTCAAGAATAACTTTTCATTGCTGAGATTTCATCACTGCATTTTTTTCTACAGTGAAATACATATTTTTGACTGCTTGTTCCTTCACAAATCATCCTATTTTCAGTGGATGCTCTGCCATTACTAATACCTCAACAAAATAATAGAAGCTGTTATGAGAACAGCAGAACTGATTAAACTTGTCATCCTGTGAACTGGTATCCTGACCTCTACACCAGTGCAAAACTACCAGCTCTTCTCCATGTTCTTCCTAACAGCTCTGTTGAATGAGAGCTACGTTAGCCTGCAGCTGTATGTGTACTGATTTGTTGGCTCTCTGAGGCTAACTGGAATACATAATAGCCAAATTTTGCCTGCCTCTCCCTTAATGGAAGGAACTAATTTTGGTCTTTCTCCTCTGTCCAACTGTCAGATCCCTGAAACTTATAAAAATATAATTATCTGTGGGACTTCAGCCCTTCTTTCAAATTTGGTTAAAATTAGCTGAAGGGATTGAAAATTTACTGAAGGGAGCTGACAGACAGGAAATCAGGCCAAAAATACATCAGCCATTATGTCAGTTCTATGTGTCATGGATAGCTGTTAATTTAATACTGCATTTCTCCCAGACTGGCCTGTGGGGATACCTACTCTGGTGTCCAGGAGGTGTGATTATTATGTGCATATTTCAGGGAAGAGCTCCTTGGAAACATTCAAATCTGTTACCTCTAAGTACCACTCAGTGTTGAGTGTCATTGCATATTCTTGAAGGCAGGTCTGCAGCCCAAGGCTGAGCTGTTATTTTTTCCATTACTGATGAATTTCTGGGGCACATTGAATGGCTATCTGCAAGGCAGATGGGATTGCCCCTTTAGGTTTACTTGTGGTAGCTTTTGTCGAAGGGTTTTAGGTAACAGTGTGGGGCTCCTCCCTGGAGGCAGACCCAGGCCCTTCATGAGCACATACCCTCTGTGCAGATGTGGATGTTGCTTTGTTATTATGAGCAGAGACACTGTCTCTTCAGATCAGTGCTAACCCAGCAAGGCCTCCCACTGCTGCAGCTGCTCTTTTGACTGAATAAAACTGTCCAGCTCTTATATTTTGGGCCCATGTAGAGTTGAGGTGAATTCAGGTGTGTAGTAAATGCCTTGTCCTAGGTACAACATGTGTTTGCATTTGGTCCTGTCACCTTAACTACACAAAATTTTGCACAGACTCTCAGAGTTAGTTTTCATCGTATCTGAAGTTTACCTGTTTTAGGAGCTACTGCTGCAGCAAAACACTATGCCTGGGTTTAGTTTTATGCCTGAGAGCACTTCTGTTGAAATTAGTAAGAATATTTATCTATGCACAGCTAAGCTGCATACGTTGGACTGGTTGGGGTCTTTCTGTGAGGTGCAGTCAACACCCTGTGCCTGTAAGGGCACTACAGCTGCCATTCCACTGTTATAAAGAAGAGAGATAGTTGTGTGTTACCTTCCTTTTCAAGGTGCCTTGCAGTGCTAAAGACTAAAAAAGTATTTCTCCATTGCACAGTGCAATTTGGTGAAGACATTTCAGAGAGACTTCTAAACTAGTTAGCTCTAAGTATTTTAAGCAATATAGCTGCATTAGCAGAGAGCTCAGCTGGGTAAATCAGCATTGTGCAGCATAGACATACCCTAAATTTCTGGTATGGCTTCCTCAGTGACACTTCTTCAAACCACAGCTTGACAATAAAATATGATTTTTCCCCCCTCCAAAACAGTGTGCTAGGAAAGCTTGCATACATTTTTCTTTTTTATTATCTCACTATCTCCTCTCTTAAAATAAATTCTAACCTGACTGCCTCATTTTATTTCATTCTATTTTTTTTTCTTTTATTGGCGGCATCCTCTCATTCATCTGAGCCTGGATCCCCTGTAACCCAAACTGTTTCAGCTGGGGCACAGAAGATACTGCCTCTGCATTATAAAAGCTATTGTTTCAGTTCCCTTACAACCTTTTGATGGAAGGCTAGGAAAGGAACTGAGATCAAGCATCATTACCTCCCTGCATAAATCTATGCAGGTCTGATCACATCATCTTGAATAGGATGTAGTAGGACTGGAAAATGCACAGAAAAGGGCAAGAAGGAATGATTGATAGTGTAGCTTTTGCAACTGAAGGATAAACCACATTCTCCAGTTTGGAAAAAAAGTGACTGTAGGAAGAGAGTTGAGTGGTGCCGTGAATGGCATGGAGAAGGTGAGTAAGGAAAGGCTATGGGCTGCCATAAGGCAAAAACATTTGATGAAATTCACTGGGATGCAGGTTTAAAGGTCTTCAAGAGAGAACTTTTCTCACAGTGGTTGATAAGCAATGAAACTCATTGCTGCAGAATGTGAGCAAGGCCAAATGTTTAAAAGGGTTCAAAATGGGATTAGATAACATGGATCAATGTAATTACCTTGATGATAGTTCAGCAATGATTAAGGGGTTTAGGAGGTAAAAAAAGGAGCATAAGAATGAGTGATTCATCTCAAAGGAAGAATGACAAATTGTTATCCTGTGTCCTTCTTGCAATGATTGCTAGTATCACTGCGTGACCCACCATGTTATTCTAGGTACTAAGTCAGCTCTAGCTGTGATGGCAGAAGTACCATTCTACAAAGTGTAAATTCCTAAGTGAAAGCGTTAAAGAACAAGGGAGAGAGTCATGAAACACTACTGGTTAAGGCATATTTGCTCACTCAGTCTCCCAGAAGAGTAGTATCGTAACTGTACCTATTTGAAAAGGCCATAAGAAAATGACTACTGCCATGGAGTGTCCAAAATTGATGCCCATTGTGACATAGCTGCCCTGTATCCCACAGTCAGGTCCTTAGGGAATTCTTGAAATGAAAGTTACATCAGGACCATTGTGTTTAATCTATTATAGTGGCTATTTTAGATTCCTGTAAATTGGAAATAAGAGCAGGAAAAAATAAGATTCAACCAAGAACATATGAACCTAAATGAAATTCTGCAACTGTTTAAAGATGCTGTAGAAGGTTCCATTTTAAACAACTTGCTAAGGAGGTGTTTTTTCACGGAGAGTCTTAGTTCGGTAGATGATGGACTACACTCTGTATTTTTGAAATCTTATATAGTTAACTTTTCTTAACAGGTGGTGGTGTTTTGTGGCATTCCTTTAACTGCTACGTGGGGATTTTCTTCTTCCTTGCTCCACCATCCCAAGAATTTGAAGAATTAATGAAGTGAATATCATGGTTCATTAGTATTTCGTCATCCTGAATGGTATGTGACAAAGTTTTAACCTTATGGTTGATATATGTGTTTTGGAGTTAGTTCCTTTGGCAGGGGCAGGGAAGTAGATACAAAGGTCCTAGGATCAGATCATTTCTGCTCAACTGGATGGTCATTCTGGGGCAGAATACTTACCAGAAACTGGTCTGCAGGCAGTGAAAATGAGACAGGTTTCAATACGCAGAGTCTGGAATGGGCTCAAAGGCTAACATGACTGACATAAGAGATCTGATCTCTGATCTTGGTTATGTGCGAGTAGTCAAAAATAGTGTTATTTTCGCTAGAAGAGTTTGTTCTGCTTCTGCCTTTATACCTGGCACAGAGGCAGTAACTCCAAGGCACAAAGCAGGAACTCCCACGCACAGCCCTTGATTGCTTCTTTTTCAACTCACCATGCAGATGCCATATGTGAATCTAGCAAGTGGCACTTCCTAATGTAAAGCACTATCACTTTCCTAAAAGTACAAGCTTAAATAGACTGTATACTTGCATATATGAAATCAGTATCACACCTAGCCTGTGAAGAAAGATAGACTTCAAATAGGACAGGTGTTCCTTACGAATATCAAATGGTAGCTATGAGTATTGGTGGCAAAAGGCCAAAAATTTAGACATTACAGAAACCTGGATTCCTGTGTACATGTGAAATAAAACCTAATTAATGAAGGCTACGCTGAAACTCTCTATCATACTTGTATCGGGCTGTCTCCCTCCTTTTCTGTTTTCATCCTCTGCCACAGCACCATATAGATCAGGATAGAGAAATAGGTAATCTTAAGTGATTCTTCACTTGGTGAGTCTTGAGTGGAGAAAAAAGTGAGGAGGCCTGGGGAATGTCTGTCTTTATGTCCTCCATGTTTAAACAACAAGGCTGCTTCAGAGAAGATCCAGAGCTAACATGCAGAGACACTGCAGGTTTGAATAAGATGGATTCTGGTCTGGATCTCCAAAGCACCACTAGGTAAATTACGAAGGGCAGAATCTTCATTACGGTGATTTAGGAGGCGTAAAGAGACATAATTTGGTTTGTGGATCTCAAGTGGAGTTTTCAAGGCTGACAATTAATAATCTGAAATTGACTTGTAAACTGAATGAACCTGACACAGGGTCATGGAGACAAAATTCAATTTGGAGGCACCAGTGCCTTTTTTCTAGTCACTTGCGAGAACACCATGGAACTATGTTTGCAGATACTGTTATATTTCTCCCCTCCTTCTTCAGTGCTTTTCTCCCTCCTTCCCATCCCCCACTTCAAGCTTTTCTCTGGGGATTTAAGTGTTTAACTTCTTAATCTTGTAATCTGAAGTAACAAGACAGTTGGGTGACATTTTACAAGATGAAAACCATTGAGTCAGCCTCTCATAACTTCACAACTGTTAAAATCCCCATATGACTAATCTCTAATTCCCAGCAGTCTACTGCAAATAAAATCATATATTGAACTGTGCAGCTTTACTATCCCAAATAAAGCTCCCACACGACTTCCAGTTCAGCTCAGAGCTTGGTTAGCCTAATACCATGGTAATGTTTATACAGATCACAGACTACATTAAATAAAACTCTCCCCATAAACGTTCCTGGAAGGTTATATTAAGGTAAACAGTCCATGAAATCTCTTTAAAAATGCAGGGTGCCAGGCCTCCAGTGAAATGGTAGTTAGGAAGATTAAGCCACAACAGTAATTCTGAAAGTGTATCTTGAGTCCTTCACAACAGAAGGACTACTCTGAAAACAAGATGCCTACGCTGATTTCTGACCCTGTCCTTTCAAAGCTGCATGTGAAGGGTCTTTTGGGTGCCAGCTGTCTTTGTGTATTCACCAGAGGCAGGTTCCTGGGCCTAGGACATCTCACTTGCTCCGATTCCTTTCCCAGTAACTACTTAAAAAGGATATTAAGGCATATATGCCAGCTGTACTCTCTCATGATTTCTCAGTTAGCTCTCAAAGCAGTGAGATGATCTCTGAGTTGGGAGGCAAATGGAAAGACAGCAAGAACCAAATCTATGCACTTGCAAGGAAAAGATGGGGCATGGTCTATGCTTACTTTTAATGGCACCTGTCTCTGAAGTGGCCAAGCAACTGTTTCTGAGCTTCACGGGGATTACAAATCGTTAAAGTGCTGCTCTTCTGTGCAGCACAGGACCTTTCTTCTGTGCAAGACAGCAAACATGGCTGCCGTGCCTGTTCTTCTGGGTGATGGGCAGCACCTCAGGTAAGAGCTGCTGCAGGGCTGGGCTCCTGGCTCTTATGCACAGAGACGTTTGAAGATAAGGTCCTGGTCTGGGGAGGCAGAGTGAGCCATAGGAGGGTAGTTCTTGATAAATGAAGATTTTGCTATGTGGCCGGCTTAGTAGATCAGAAAGTCTGACTCTTTCTGTTACTTGACCTTTCCACGTTGGGCACTGGTACAATGGCAGTATATTATGACTCTGTAATATACACTGTTTTCAAAAATGGAATATATCTTTGCTAGCAGATGTGTTTCACTTGAACTGCAGGGTGTCGGACTGTAAATATGAAAACTCTAGTGCTACACTTACAATTACAGTATTGAGGAAGCTTCCAGAATGCAGTCAGAGCTGCACTGGATATAATATTGGGCCTTGCATGTTTCTCTTTATTTAGCAAACGCTGCTCTTTGGAACATGACCTGTGCCACTGTGGCTTTTCATTGTATTTTTAATGTCTGAGGAGCAAAACCCACAAAAGCAGACCTCAAGAGTGCTGTGTGCTGTACGGCCTGCGTGACTGCCATCAGTGATATATTCCCGTCACCCGAGAGGGAAAAGGCAAATGCAGATAAAACATTTATCCCTTATGAGAAGGCTACCTGAACTGCTTGACTTGAAGGGGGCTGGCAGAGGCTGCTCACTGGAGAGCATCCGGGCCAAATTCAGAGCTTCACTGCGCCCGCATAACGGACAGCAGAATCCAGGTTTTCGCTTCCCGGTTGCTAGTACAAATTTGTCGTGCCTGCTTACCATCTGTGACACAAAAGGGTGATTTCTGCCCCTGCCCGGGGGAGAAAGCCTGCATAAAATTAACCGATGCCTGCAGACCTGGCACCTTTCAGCAGAGAAGCCAAAAGGGCACTGGCTGAGAGCCTAGCTCCCCTTTGGCCCCCCACCGCGGTCCCGTCGCATCAGACTGGAACAGCAGAGAAGCGCGTGGTGCTGCCCACTGTGCCACAGCTGCTCTGAGCTGCGGCAACGTACTTCTTCAGGGCTGTCAGTCCTGCATGGTCTGTCACGGTCTCCGCATGGATGCAGACTTTTAAAAGGAGTTGAAAAACGTCAGGGATTTTGTCCATGTGATCTGCCCCTGCTGTGCAGATCGGCGTCAATGTGCAATGCAGAAATACAGGTAAGATTTGAAAATAAGCACACAGACACTCACATGAACTTTTCACTCCAATTGTGAATGGGGATTTATTTTTTAGAATGTCTGTTTATTTCAGATGGCCACATACAGGCCTGCACCCTAAGGGCTTTCACCTCTCTGTGACAGACGAGACCTACAACTACCCAGGAAAATGGTAGCACGTTCATTCCCTCCTCTGCTTTGGGCTGCTCTTCTAGTGTTTTTGTCTCAGCATCACATTTGATTACAAACCCAGCTGGAGCTGCATTGTCTCTTCTGAGGTATCTTGCCATTGTTCTATAGATGAACAAGATAGGCAGCCAAATACAGCCTGGTCCCCATTCCTCTGCAGATGGAAAATAGCGCCTCTTCTCACATCAGATGTGTAAGTATTGGGAATTATCTTTGGTGCGACACGCTTCTCCCACAGGACCAATCCCAGCCTAATGGTAGTTGTAATGAAACACTGAGAGAAGTGAGATGTATCTGCAGCAAGAAGGGAAAAACTTTGAAGGCTTAAGTGACATAGATGTTTCCATTTTAGTCCTCTATATACTTTCATATTTTTACTTGTTTTTTTTTCACTTGCACTTTTTTCTGAGACCAATTATGTTGCTAGTGAAAATCTTCCTAACTTGAGGTTTTTTTTCCTGCAAGTAGTCTAATTTGAGCAATATTGATCAGATATCTCTAGCTGCAAATGGAATGGAAAAGAAAAACTCTTTTTTGTTATATAAAACAAATTTGGTTACCCTCTCCCCCAACTTTTAACAGCTAAAATAGCTTAGAAAAGGAGTAAATTGTTTGGCATGAAAATATTCCAGAAAGAAAGTACACTGAGGTTTCCCAGGATCTGAAGTTAGTTTTTATGTGGTAGAGTTTTGCTAACTGTGTCTAGTGCATTTTGTAGAGTTCCTGGTTCCCAGACTCAAGACTATCAAAATCTTGGCCTTCACTTAGGGAGATGCTTCTGGCTATCACAATTGCAATAAAAGTATAGTGACCAAGAGACGTGGTCAGTGACTTCATGCCATACCCGCAAGAGGCACAGCCCATCCCTTGTGGCT